TACTCCAAGGCTTTGCTCCCCGTCTCCCTGCAGACCAGGGAGACGGGGAGCAGCTTTTCTTGCCTCGGAGGAGGCGGGCGGCGGGACCGGGCGTCCTGCCGCTCCTGTCCTCCGGGGCGAGAAAATTCCCGTTCGTAACTGCGGATCCGACATAAGTCGGATCCGCGTAACTCGGGGACTGCCTGTATTGGGGTAGGCAGCAGAGTAGTCCCATAAGAGGAGCAGAACAGGAAGGAGGCAGAATCGAGACCTTCCAAAGTTTTGGCCCAAGAGAGGCAGCCATGGGGGCATCATTTGAGCTCCCCGCCTCAGGTGCCAAAATGTTGGGGGCCGGCCCTGAGGGGAGTTGCTCTCTAGGGAGCTTTGGAAACCACATGCAAGCCTTGGACTGGAGTGGTGTTGGGGGAGAACCTCTCATCCCCCCACCAATACGCCCCTTCATCTCCACCCACACCTCAGGGCCCGGCGGGGGAAGCAGAGAGGAGCCGCGTGGCTGGCGGGGCTCTGGATGGGAGACAAGGAGTTTGACATGACGGAAGAGGGGGAGTTGGCCCCGTGCACATCCCAGAGCCCAGGCGGTTTTGCAATCAAGAGACAAGGTCGTCATGACCTCTGGCCAAGCACAGAACCCACAACGTGACATCTGGCCTCTGCCGCTCCCTGGCCAGTCCCACGCCCCCAAGGACCCAACACCACCCCTAGTTGGGGAATAGGAGAAATCACAATATTTACCTTGCCTTGGCCAAAGTTCAGTATCATTAGTACTGGCTCCGATCCCTCCCCGTGTCCCTGGAGGGGACTGGTGGGGAGCAGGGCTCTGACCCAGGGGACGTTCAGGAGCATCCACGGGACTGGCCAGTGACAAGGGACAAAGGTGCCTGGGAGGAGGGGGAGTGGGCAGCAAACACTGGGGAGAAGCAGGATGTAAATGTGAATCCCTGAACTCACCAAAAGAAGTGGTCGCTCCGGGGTGGTGGATGACTCTAGAGTCTCGTGGGACCCGTGTAGTCCAGGAAGGGGGGTGAAGCTGCCGGAGGCGTGGATCTGGGTGTATCAGAAAAGGGAAATAAAGAGTGTCCATGGTGTTCAGCTTTGGACTACCTGCTGCCATCGCCGTCACGGGTAAAACTCCCCTGGGAGCAGAGTTAGGCAAACGATTGCTGATTATTTCTGTCGCCATAGCACTTAAGGGCCCTGGGCCTGTATGTCAGGGCCTAGGCGCTGTACACTGAAAACGCCACCCCAGATGTTCGGTGCCAGCTGACAGCCCTCCCAGGGGGCTTACCATGGCCTGGCAGGCCCCTGCTATGATCAGCAGGTATGGACAAGTCTCGGGGGAAGGGGGGTTAGTTGGTGCCTGCAAAGACAACGAGGAGTCCTGTGGCACCTGAGAGACGTATTTGGGCATCAGCTTTGGTGGTAGAAGCCTACGGTTGCCAGGTGTCTGGTTTTGAACCGGACAGTCCGGTATTTGAGCTTTCTGTCCAGGAAACAAATTGAGAAAATACCCGAGATATAAAGTGCCTGGTATTTTCTAATTAAGTAAGTTTTATTATTAGCAGGGGTATCAGTACGTCGTTGCACTGCCTGGTTGGCAGATGTGCTCACACTGCGTGAGTCACACCGCGTGAGCGTGTGTACCAGCCAGGCAGTACATGACTACACAGTACAGAGGAGGGGGGCAGGACGGGGCTGGGGTGGGATGGAATCCCCGGAGCTGGACTCACCCGTGCGCCCCGCCGGGACTGTGCGTGGGACGGGAAGTACCCTGGGATCTGTGTATGCCCAGGCCCGCCCCG